ACAATCCTCTAAAAAACCACATAAGTATAAAGATGATACTGCTGGAAGGCGTGAGCACAATTTTCTAAAAACCACGTAAGTATAAAGAGGATACTGGAGGAAGGCGTGAGTACAATCCTCTAAAAACTACCTAAGTATAAAGATGATACTGGAGGAAGAAGTGAGCACAATCCTCTAAAAACTACCTAAGTATAAAGATGATACTGGAGGAAGAAGTGAGCACAATCCTCTAAAAACTACCTAAGTATAAAGATGATACCGGAGGAGGAAGTGAGCACAATCCTCTAAAAACTACCTAAGTATGAAGATGATACTGGAGGAAGGCGTGAGCACAATCCTCTAAAATCCACCTAATTATTAAGGTGATCCTGGAGGAAGGCGTGAGCACAATCCTCTAAAAACTACCTAAGTATAAAGGTGATACTGGAGGAAGAAGTGAGCACAATCCTCTAAACAACCACGTAAGTATAAAGATGATACTGCTGGAAGGCGTGAGCACAATTTTCTAAAAACCACGTAAGTATAAAGATGATACTGCTGGAAGGCGTGAGCATAATCCTCTAAAAACCACGTAAATATAAAGATGATACTGGAGGAAGGCGTGAGCACAATCCTCTAAAAACCACCTAAGTATAAGGATGATACTGGAGGAAGGCGTGAGCACAATCCTCTACAAGAAAACCACGTAAGTATAAAGATGATACTGCTGGAAGGCGTGAGCACAATCCTCTAAAAACCACCTAAGTATGAAGATGATACTGGAGGAAGGCGTGAGCACAATCCTCTAAAAACTACCTAAGTATAAAGATGATACTGGAGGAAGGCGTGAGCACAATCCTCTAAAAACCACGTAAGTATAAGGATGATACTGGAGGAAGGCGTGAGCACAATCCTCTACAAGAAAACCACTTAAGTATGAAGATGACACTGGAGGAAGGCGTGAGTACAATCCTCTAAAAACTACCTAAGTATAAAGATAATACTGGAGGAAGAAGTGAGCACAATCCTCTAAAAACTACCTAAGTATAAAGATGATACTGGAGGAAGGCGTGAGCACAATCCTCTAAAAACCACCTAAGTATGAAGATGATACTGGAGGAAGGCGTGAGCACAATCCTCTAAAAACCACCTAAGTATAAAGATGATACTGGAGGAAGGCGTGAGCACAATCCTCTAAAAACCACGTAAGTATAAGGATGATACTGGAGGAAGGCGTGAGCACAATCCTCTACAAGAAAACCACTTAAGTATGAAGATGACACTGGAGGAAGGCGTGAGCACAATTTTCTAAAAACCACGTAAGTATAAAGATGATACTGCTGGAAGGCGTGAGTACAATCCTCTAAAAACCACCTAAGTATGAAGATGATACTGGAGGAAGGCGTGAGCACAATCCTCTAAAAAAAACCACTTAAGTATGAAGATGATACTGGAGGAAGGCGTGAGCACAATCCTCTAAAAACTACCTAAGTATAAAGATGATACTGGAGGAAGGCGTGAGCACAACCTCTAAAAACCACCTAAGTATGAAGATGATACTGGAGGAAGGCGTGAGCACAATCCTCTAAAAACTACCTAAGTATAAAGATGATACTGGAGGAAGGCGTGAGCACAATCCTCTACAAGAAAACCACTTAAGTATGAAGATGACACTGGAGGAAGGCGTGAGCATAATCCTCTAAATCACACCTGAGTATAAAGATGATACTGGAGGAAGGCGTGAGCACAATCCTCTAAAAACTACCTAAGTATAAAGGTGATACTCGAGGAGGAAGTGAGCACAATCTTCTAAAAACCACGTAAGTATAAAGATGATACTGGAGGAAGGCGTGAGCACAATCCTCTAAAAACTACCTAAGTATAAAGATGACACTGGAGGAAGGCGTGAGCACAATTTTCTAAAAACCACGTAAGTATAAAGATGATACTGCTGGAAGGCGTGAGCACAATCTTCTAAAAACCACCTAAGTATGAAGATGATACTGGAGGAAGAAGTGAGCACAATCCTCTAAAAACCACCTAAGTATGAAGATGATACTGCTGGAAGGCGTGAGTACAATCCTCTAAAAACCACCTAAGTATGAAGATGATACTGGAGGAAGGCGTGAGCACAATCCTCTAAAAACCACCTAAGTATGAAGATGATACTGGAGGAAGGCGTGAGCACAATCCTCTAAAAACAACCTAAGTATAAAGATGATACTGGAGGAAGGCGTGAGCACAATCCTCTAAAAAAACCACTATAAGTATACTGGAAAGATGATACTGGAGGAAGGCGTGAGCACAATCCTCTAAAAACACACAATGTATAAGATGATACTGGAAGGCGTGAGCACAATCCTCTAAAAACCACCTAAGTATGAAGATGATACTGGAGGAAGGCGTGAGCACAACTCTAAAAACCACCTAAGTATAAAGATGATACTGGAGGAAGGAAGGCGTGAGCACAATCCTCTAAAAAAACCACTAAGTATGAAGATGAAAGGCGTGAGCACAATCCTCTAAAAACCACCTAAGTATAAAGATGATACTGGAGGAAGGCGTGAGCACAATCCTCTACAAGAAAACCACTTAAGTATGAAGATGACACTGGAGGAAGGCGTGAGTACAATCCTCTAAATACTACCTAAGTATAAAGATAATACTGGAGGAAGAAGTGAGCACAATCCTCCAAAAACCACCTAAGTATGAAGATGATACCGGGGGAGGAAGTGAGCACAATCCTCTAAAAAAAAACCACTTAAGTATGAATATGACAATGGAGGAAGGCGTGAGTACAATCCTCTAAAAACTACCTAAGTATAAAGATACTGGAGGAGAAGTGAGCACAATCCTCTAAAAACCACCTAAGTATAAAGATGATACTGGAAGGCGTGAGCACAATCCTCTAAAAACTACCTAAGTATAAAGATGATACTGGAGGAAGGCGTGAGCACAATCCTCTAAAAACTACCTAAGTATAAAGATGATACTGGAGGAAGGCGTGAGCACAATCCTCTAAAAACCACCTAAGTATCAAGAGGATACTGGAGGAAGGCGTGAGCACAATCCTCTAAAAACCACCTAAGTATAAAGATGATACTGGAGGAAGGCGTGAGCACAATCCTCTAAAAACTACCTAAGTATAAAGATGATACTGGAGGAAGGCGTGAGCACAATCCTCTAAAAACTACCTAAGTATAAAGATGATACTGGAGGAAGGCGTGAGCACAATCCTCTAAAAACAACCTAAGTATAAAGATGATACTGGAGGAAGGCGTGAGCACAATCCTCTAAAAACCACCTAAGTATGAAGATGATACTGGAGGAAGGCGTGAGCACAATCCTCTAAAAACTACCTAAGTATAAAGATGATACTGGAGGAAGGCGTGAGCACAATCCTCTAAAAACTACCTGGAAGTATAAGCAGAAAACCACTTAAGATGACACTGGAGGAAGGCGTGAGCACAATCCTCTAAAAGTAAAAGATGATACTGCCACCTAAGTATAAGATGATACTGGAGGAAGGCGTGAGCACAATCCTCTAAAAACCACGTAAGTATAAAGATGATACTGCTGGAAGGCGTGAGCACAATCGTCTAAAAACCACCTAAGTATAAAGATGATACTGGATAAGTATGAAGATGATACTGGAAGCACAATCCTCTAAAAACCACCTAAGTATAAGATGATACTGGAGGAAGGCGTGAGCACAATCCTCTACCAGAAAACCACGTAAGTATAAAGATGATACTGGAGGAAGGCGTGAGCACAATCCTCTAAAAACTACCTAAGTATAAAGGTGATACTGGAGGAAGGCGTGAGCACAATCCTCTATGTTGTAGGATAAATGGAATACATGATCAGTGTCTTAAAATATAAGCTTCAGTTTGGCTCGGTAAAGAGAGGCAAAAGTGACTTGCCTCTTTGTCTTTCTTCAACCTCGCCGAAATGCAGCTTATATTTTAAAACACTGACCATGTATTCTCTATGTATACTGTGACGACACGTCATTTATGTCGTCATTATGTCGCTGATAAGTCGACCATCGAACTTTTAAATTGATATTTTGTTCCTTTCTATTTATCCAACTTTTCCCCCTTTATACATTACTGATATATATATTAGAAAGATAACATTCGCAGTGTCAGGGACATATGACATATATTTCAAGAGATTCCTGCTACATTAAATCATCAATAAATAATAAACTGTCATATTTTCGAGGCTATGTGCCCTTTTATCAAGACACGTGATATTACAAAAGTTACAAACTATATTCTGTAACCACTTTACAACGTGTGGTAAGGAATGCTTTTCAAATGATTTATTTTATTGGATGTGTGTTTCTAGTATTATCAGCAGATTTAAAAGACGCATCCAAATAGGAATACATTTGATGAAAAAGATATATTGCTTTGTAGCGTATACACTATAATCGGTAAGAAAGGAAAATCACAAATGGTGTGTATGGAAACAACATTAAGTACTACTAAAGGAAATGTTGGCATTGTCGAAGTTATTAGTGATTATTACATTATCGTGAATGTAAATCACCATCTCCTCCTAAAAGGCTCCCTTTGTCTGTTCCCATCTACCATGTTATACATTACTGTTACCGGAGAAGGAAAAACGATTTGGCCTCATGACTCTAATACATCTTCCTGACTGTCATTCGTTTTGGTTGTCATTCAACTTGTATGTTATATGTGATGAAGAACCATTAGTGAAAATAAAGGCAATATATAGATTTCAAATAGATAATTAAGTAAGTGATAAAATAAATTAATAAAACAACCAACACAGCAGATTATAATGAATCAAGAATGAAGATCATTTACATACAAATAAAGAAGTCCAGAGTCAAATAATGACCTTAACTACATTATTCAGCTGTTTCGTTCTACATTGTCATTATGTCGTAAATAAATTCAAAAGCCACACTTATTCATTAAGATGACCTTTAATCGCAGTTGCATATATTCTTTCATCCATTACACAACGGAAGTAGTTTTGCATCATAATATGTTTTTGATGATTAAGGTAATACGTTTAAAGAGTTTTCATGTTCAAATTATTATAACCAAAATAAGGCGATGCTACTAAAATACAGAAGTGAAGGTGGACAATATCAGTTCTCATTCCACGTTAAAATATGTTTTTCACTTTATCATCCTCGTGAATTTATTTACTTTTTTATGCTGTCCACTCTGTCATCCTATCAAATTTGTCCAGTTATTCCATCTGTTCATTATTTGCCTTTGCCTTTGCCTTTGCCAGTGTCTTTGCCTTTGCCTTGGCCTTTGCCCTTGCCGCCTTTGCCGCCTTTGTCGCCTTTGCCGCCTTTGCCCTTGCCGCCTTTGCCTTTGCCTTTGCCTTTGCCTTCGTCTTCGCCGGTTGTAGCCGGTTCAGGTTCTGCAGACGGGGCTTCGTCTTTGCCATTGTTTGTGACAGGGGCTTCAGCGGATGTATCAGGTTTAGCCGGGTTTTCAGCTTCAGGTTCTGCAGACGTGTCTTCCTTATTGCCATTGCCATTGCCATTGCTTATGACAGGGGCTTCAGTGGTTGTATCAGGTTTAGCCGGATTTTCAGCTTCAGGCTCTGCAGACGTGTCTTCCTCATTGCCATTGCCATTGCTTATGACAGGGGTTCCAGCGGTTGTATCAGATTTAACCGGTTTTTCAGTTGTTGCAACATCACCGTCACTCTGTCGTCTTTTTCTGTTTGGTCTGGCGAGAGTGGAGACCACCAAACACAGAAGAATGGTATATAGAAACACCTTCATCTTGTATCTGTAACACAAAAAGTATGATGTCCATTCACTATTTCAACAAAGAGCTAAAAAGAAAGACAGATAACAACTAAATGAAAACTAAGGTGGTGGTCTTAAGCTGACATGGGTTAACAATGATGTTATGCATTTAGCTACATCTAATACAAAGATTATGGACTATAACTCCACATGTTATAATGTGTAGAGAATTGTTATGAAGTGTAGAGAATTGATATAAAGCGTAGAGAATTGTTATAATGTGTAGAGAATTGGGGGGGGGGGGGGGGGGGGGTATAGTTGCTTTCCGAACTACACAGGCGTCAAAACTTGAGACATTGAGTGGATTGAGACAACGAATATGTTGACGACTGTAAAATATAAAGAGAATGTTTTATATAGTATCTATGATTTACTATACAAAATTAATTGTGTGCTCTAGTATTGGTGACAACTGATTAACATACTATACAAAGATGCCCGTTAAATGTTCCTTTAGTCTGACGTTGACAAGAAGACGTCATGGTATGTTAATTTGTGAATGTTCCATGTGATGATCTCATGCTAGTCGGTTACTATGGAGATATATTTCTGTCATCCACGTGTATGGATTAGTATATATGCTATATATCATTTATCATTATTTGTGATATATGCAATACAGCGGTTTTTTTCCTGTTAGCCAGATGTCTAATAGAAAATGGTCCAGATTTATTCTGCCATTAAAACATATGTTAGGAAATGATAGAAATAAATCAAATTTGGAAGTGATTCGTATCAGTATTTTATGTCAGAATATGTTATTTAATATCTACAAAGTTTCTTTTGTCAACATTAAGATAATATGAATACCTTAATTTCATGTAAACAACATAATCTGATATAGTCTAAAGTCTAATAGAGTTATATCTAGCAACGTAATAATGATCGTAATGGAAAAAGTATACAAACCCATTAGACCATTGATAAGTGACTGTCCATCAAAAAGTCAGTTCACGATATAGGTTTTTGGAATTTAAAATGTCACAAGAAGTTGTTGTTCGAATCGGCAACCAATTCATGTATGTGTTCCTAACATTGGACAAACTTCAGATGATTATTGCCTTTACCTGAGCAAGATAATTACTTCTGGTAATTTGTTTCGGAAATTTGTCATTGATAAGATATTGAAATAAACATGCAGTGATAATGGCAACTTTTGATAGTGTCTCCTAATTCTTCAGAAGGAAACAAGAGTACATGTACTTGACCGTGGTTTACAATCCGTCTCAATCGAATGATATACCTATGAATATCAGCTAGTAGTTTTATGGATATTTCAGTCTTAAGTTCCATGAGGAGTTAATCCTAAATCGTTATTTGAAAACTTTCAGATATTTCACTTATTTTTTTTTATTACACAAAAGTCCATGATTTTCAGTTGGCACTAACAGTAAGGGCTATAAATAGGTCTTTTTTCATGAAAAACCATTTAGTGTACTGTTTAGATAGGCAAACATTTAGTGTTATTTTTCTAAAGGTAAACATTCGGTGAAATTATACTTTAGGCACACATTCGGCGTAATTATCATATCGGTTAACATACGGTGTTTTTGTTAGAGATAAACATTCGGTGTAATTTTTAGAGGTAAACGTTTGGTGTAATATTGTTATCATTGCGAAGATTTTAGTAATGATATCCATACTCAAGTTTCAATTAGAATCGGGCCAAAAAGCACTTTCTTTTCCAATCATTGTAACCGGATCGAATGAATACACATCTAATGATTTAAGGTTCAGCATTGATCTCTATCATCTTCTTTGTGCCACCAAGCACTAAATCTATCATAACATGTGGAATGGTTGTTCCCTTATCTATGCGCTAGTAGATATATCAGTAAGTTTTAATGACTATTTGCAGCAATACTGTAAGAACGAATGAAAGCTAATTAAGGCTCAAGGCAATTTCGAATACTGATGGAAAAACAACAAGAAAATACCAACATGTCATCATAATCCAAACTCAAACAAAACAAATACTTACTGGTCTCTTTTTTTCTTCTATTATTTTCTTATTCCCTGTTGCGGGAGTCTGTTACCAATGAAGTTACTAAAAAGATTGTTTCACTATCTACTATATCAGTGTATTGAAATGTTTACCAACCAGTAATGTGAAATCTATATTTACTTTGCATTAATTAGCGGAATCATGACAGTAAATAAATGCTTTCAAGGCGATTGGATGTTCACAGTTACAGTAAGAATTCATAAAATGGAAAGATAGACAAGATGGACAAAATTCTAGCGTTAGTTTGAATTAAAGTTTCGTATATATATGTCGTTGTTTCCTTTTTGATTTTGTACATAAAAATATAAACATAAGGTAGAGGATTTTTGACTCGTGCCCTATCCAGGCCTCGTACTCAGGATCAACGGCATCAAATCTCCTAGCCAAGAAATTCGATCACTGCTTAACAACTATACCACACCGAGATTTCCATATGTGTCGATACATACAAATCAACTCAAGCGGTTGCTTAAAGTTGTAAAGGCAACATACGATCAATACCTATAACGGATAAGCATCCGCATTTATTTAAGTATATGCTAAGAAACAGGTGTACATTCATTGATAGACTGCTTTGAACACTTTCCTCTCATTTTATCAAAATAACACATGATATACATAAGTTTCAATAATATCGTTCAAAAAAGAAATATATAATTCATTGTTATATAAAATGAAGAAAATCACCTTAGGACACTCTGCGTCCTTACTTCAATAAAGTGAATTATTTCCGTCACATGTAGCATAATTTCAACTGAATCGATTTACCAATAATGTGCTAATCAATTTTAAATTCCGTCCAAAAGAGGACTGCTTTTAACTTTAATCTTTTATCATAGCTTCTTTATTTCTACAAACTTCTATCACCACAATATCTAGCCTTGCCTTATGCATTAATTCACACCAGTTATAGTTTACTGCTCTATAGCATTTACTACTTTGTTAACAAAAAGGTTCATAATCTATATATTTTACATGCTTTAGGTCTTCCTATTTATTTTTATTTAAATACTCAAAGCTGCTAAAATCTAATTCGATATGATATATAAAGAAAATAAGTACTGCTTTAACATTTATTACTTTTCTCTCCCCCATACAAACAATAACATTTCCTTACCTTGTTGTGTCTTATAGAAACTGTCTGGCCTGCTATTCTGTTACCGAGTGTTTCCTCGTCTTCGGTGTGCAGTGGCGTGGATCGGTGAAGAACCAGCCAGCTCTCCTCTCTTTTATATCTACCCGCAATGCCAAATCGTGACATTGAGTATAATACCTGTCACATGACGATATTCCAATTGCCTCCCTTGTCGGGAGTACGTTGTCCTGTTTAATTTGTCGGTAAAAGTTCGAAAGAAAATCACGTGCATACACAATGTTTCATCTTTAAAGATATCGTGATTTTAGAGACACCTTGAATGTATATCATTCTAAAAATAAACACTAACTGGGACTGATATTTAAAGTTGACTCGTATAAACTTATTTGGTTAATGAATACATAATACGATTTATAAAGACATGAACATTGAATAATGGCTAAAATGGTAAAAAATACAATTTATCGAAAAAAGGATTGAGGCAATTTTAATTAAATTTTTCAAAAATGGAAAACATGTATAATAATCAGCATGGAAGAATAACACAGCAAATATTCCGTTACATACTATCATGTATCTAAATATCTTTTTTTTAATTATTTAGATATCAAAAGATGGGCCGCAAATATCAAAAAGAATTTTTCCAAAGATAGCGTAACAAATATGTTATATGGTAGTACCAACTTAGTATTAAAATGTTCCATATATATATATGCACCTTGAAAGGAATCAAGCGATACGATTTAGTATCGCATACATTTCTTATATACCAATAAATATCATACCATAATTTCACAAATACTTTATATTCTATGGTAGGTTTGCAAAGAGACTATAACAGGTCCTCCGTAGGTTCTCTGGTAGGTATAGAAAAATATCGAAAATATTCATATTATAGTGTTTATGTCTGTATATATGTATCTCAATAGAGTATAACAAGTGTTCCATGTACATATACTACCACAGGTTTGCAAACAAAACATCGCTAATATTCAATGTACACAGCAGGTAAGTAATGTAAATAATGCAAATAGTTGCTACTAAATGTATATCTAGCTTTGTCACTTAAAATGTCTTCATAGCCTTGAAAATTATTTATTTCTAAAGATTGTATAAAAAGTAACGTTTTGATAAGGGTTGTAAATCCATCCTCCATATCTGTATATATTGATATATATTTGCATGAAAACTTGTTTCAGTCAGTTAGTATTAGTATAACACTTGACAGCATATTAAACATTCTCAATAAAAATTATTTCAGCTTATTGATATTACTCACTACAGCATATGGAACATCTCCAATAATTCTTATTTCAGCTAATGAATATTACACTATACAGCTTATGGAACATCCTCAATGAAACTTAAATAAAACAGACAAAAGCTTATAAGCCTGTAAAATATAGTAATTAATTTATTTTCCTTTATATATTTAATCTATCTAATTATGGGGCCGCTGCACCTCCCCATCTAGATTATGACTTTTCTTTTTATCTCTTTGGATTTTCCTCAATTGCCTCTTACGCTTCAAAATGTATGCCCTTACCAACACTGACAAGTTCTACAGGGACGAGACAATTTGATGATGCAGTTTATTTCATTGCTCGGCTCTACTGTAACTAACTCTAAATTTGTATTAAAAGGTGCTATTTACCTGTGTGTCTTTTGTTCAATCTTTGAGTCATTTGTGACCTCTACACTACAATTTTTGTATTAACTGATAAGTCTAGGGGAACAATACCAGATTATCCAATCATAAAATATTTGATTTCTTTTTAATCAACTCATAAAACTTTAATTGAACACGTTCAATGAATTTAAGGTAAGTAAAAAAGATACAAGTGTATTTCACAACAACACTATTAAATTTGG